ATTATCTTCTGTGTCTGTGTTAATTGGTTTCCCTTTTCTTTGTTGAAGAGGGTCTGTGCAATCCTTCTGCCTAGTCCGCCATCTTGCCCCGCCTCCCCTCTTTTTTTGTGGAGGACTCACACAGCCTTTTGGAATATCACCAACAGAAGGCAAGTCTGGAGCTACATGTTTGTCATTCCATTAATGTGATGGATACTTATATGTAGCAGGGAGAATTTTTTTTTTCCCCCCAATAATGCAATGGTCTAAACCAAAATGTTGCCAATAGTGTTTGTGATAGTTGGAGTTATGTTTCAACTTGGCTGGATCACAATTCTGAGTGGTTTAAGCAGTGGCGATGTGGGTTATTCCTATGATGAAATCAGATGTGTATATTTAGAGCAGCCAATCCATTGAAAGGGAGTTTCCCTAGGGGTGTGGCTTGCTTCCGATGTATTTATGGACATCCTGGGAAAAAGAGACACTCTTCTGTGTATCAGAACCTTGTTGTGCTGCCTGTAACTGTCTGTGAGTGAACAAACCACCATTCAGCCTGGAGATCTTGGATTCATCATTTGTTAGAGTCAACAGCCAGTATACTGCCTGCCAATCTTGAGTTCGTCAGCCCCTGCAGCTGCGTGAGTCAGGAAACGCCTCCAGCTTGACGTCTGATCCAAGAACTTTGGACTTACCAGCTTCTATAAGTGTGTGATTTATCCTAAGATTTATCCTAAGATAAATTTCTCTTTCTCTATATGTATATATAAGCTTTACTGGTTTTTCTTCTCTAGAGAGCCCAGCCTAACACAGTGTGAACAGCTCATATTTCCAGGTAGGCAACAGAGTAAAAGGAAGAAATTGTATATACTTACATCTTTGATTTTCTCAGAAGTAATAGGTTTATTTTGGCAATCAATTGCTCCTTCAGCCACAATGATAATATTCAGCCTTTTCTTTCGAGCACGATTCTAAGAAAACAGAAAATCAAAATACTCAAATTTCTAAACCATTCTTAAAAACAAAAACAAGGGATCACAATAGGAGGTATTAGACAGAGTGAGAGAAAAACATGGGCATAAACTCAAAATAATAAAAAAGACCAGTCTTACTAGTCTTATAGAGACAAGCGGGACCCCCAAGACTACAGCCCCTAAACACCATTTAAGCTTGGAACTGAAATCCCCATGGCTCACCTTTTAGCCAAATAATAGGCCCATAAGGTGAGCAATGACAGCAGGGAGGTATACACTCCTTAGAATAATTAACCATTTGATATTAAAAGGTTAGTATTTGCCCAGAGATAAAGCCCAGAACGCAGGAATGGACTAGAAAGAAGAACAAATGGAAATGATAAACACAGGGAGGAGATGAGAAGAATGCTGTTAATTGTAGGGATTGAAATCAAAGTCATAAAACAAAATGTGTATGAACTGTTGAATGGAAAACCAATTTGCTCTATAAACTTTCACCCAAATCACAATAAAAAGTTATAAAACAACAAAAAACAACATTGTAATTTATCCCAAATTGCATTAGCCTCTTGTTGAATAAAAATCACCATCAGACTCTACAAGTGTGGTCATTGTTAGTTGCCACTGGGACGATTCTGACTCATGGAAACCCTGTGTGTACAGAGTAGAACTGCTCCAGAGGGTATTCTTGGCTGTAATATTTATGGAAGCAGAATACCAGGCCTTCTCTTCTGAATACTCTTCACACACACACACACACACACACACACACAAATAAAAACTCATTGCCATCAAATCATTTCCAACTCATAGCATAGAAACCCCCACTGGGTTTCTGAGGTTGTAAATCTTTATGGAAATAGATTGACCAGTCTTCCTGCCACAGAGCAGCTGGTAGGTTTGAACTGCTGACCTTTTGTTTAGTAGTCAAGTGCCTTATCCACTACACCTCCAGAGCATTGCTGTTAGGTAGGTTCCAATCTCCAACTTTAGGTTAAGCAGGAGAGGGCAAATGATTTGTACCACCCAAGGATCTTAGCTTCATAAGTTGTTGTTGTTATGTGCCATCGAGTTGGACCCGACTCATAGCAAGTCCTCCCTGGGTTTCCGAGGCAGTATTCCTATGGAAGTAGATTGCCCAACCTTCCTTCTGAGAAGTGGTTGGTGGGTTTGAACCGCCAGCCTCCTGGTTAGCAGTCAAGTGCCTTAGGCACTATGCTACTAGAGCTCCACAAGTAGTGCTTCCTAATAATGTGAAAGTAAAAAGTACTTTTGGGTAAGTAGATGGGATGAGGAGTGAGGGGTAAGTAGGCAGGGTTTAAGGATTATTGGACACAGCAACTGGAGGTCTGTGGATATGTGGTACATTATATTATATCACAAACAACAGATTAAAAATTAATACCCTAATCAGTCCTGGGGGATGAGGAGTGTCTTCATTTGGTGTTTGACAGTGATCCATAGTATGGGAATAAACAGGAGACCAGACATTTCCAGTTGAGTGTCTACCAGCAAATCGCATTTTCAATCTCCTTACAAAAGCCAGAGCTTCTTGCCATATCTCCCTGTATCCTTTCCACCAACCCACTAATATTTTTAGGACAAGGATTCTCTGAAAGTTAGGCCCCAACCAACTCTATCAAGATAATACTACATACAGACATGGGAAGTAGGAAGATGGGACACAAAAAAAGAAAATGGGAATGAAAATAAAGACCAGAACAGAGGTGTTTAGGCAGTGGTACCTGAACATTGATAGCCATATCTCACTGTTGAAATATTGGTGGTTGCAGTTGCTACACTATTATACATATGTACAGTAATACATACAAAAATGAACATAGCAACCATTCCATAATGTAAACTTAGTCATTTTCAATTAATGTTTTTTACTTTTTATTATTGTTGTTGTTAATATAAAGTCTCCACTTAAAGAACCTCTAATTCTGTAATAATTTGGAAGGTAATTCTGTGGACCAGTGAATCCCAATGTCAATAGTGTCTCAAGCTTACTCTATTCTCACTGACATATGATGCAACATAAGCTTTTGGAGATGCTCTGTGGCCTTGTTTCCTAAGTCAATTTATCTGGCATGATACTTAAAAAAATTCTTGTAGTTTCTCATTAATGATCAACACAAATAAATTAGAGATGTAACAGTATCAAATATTTTCATATACTGTTGTTATTGTTAGGTATACTCAAGTCAACTGTCAACTAGTAACAGCACCATATGACAAGAGTAGAGCTGTCCCATATGGTTTCCTAGACCATTAATCATTTTTGGGAGCAGATCGCCAGGTCTTTATCCTGTGCAGCAGAGCTGCTGATTGTGTTGGAACAGCTAACTTTTCACTAAGTTAGTACAAATCGTCCATCCTAAGTCTGCCGATATTTAAAGGGGTGGACCCCAATATTTCCTTTTTCTTGCTCATTTCTGACAGTGCCATTTCTGAAGTCTAAAATTTAGGAAGATTTGCAGATAAGACTATTAATGCATACATGCATAGACACACACAGTGTATTTGAGCTATTTCTCTATTGTATTATGCTTGTAACATCAGGAAGTAAACAGATACAAGAATAGTCAAGTTTGGCAGATCATATGAAAAAGCTGGAGTAAATTTTAGAATCAGAAAGTTTTTACTTGTTTAAAACTGGAAATTGATCATTCTGAAAGCCATTACAATTATGATTAAAGCAATCCAATTACAGTAATTTCCAATAAACAGAAAAAAAAAATTGAATTACCTCTGATAGTTTAATGCACATATTTTCCTCCCAGCCTTCTTCTGGGGGAGATTCAGGAAGAAACACCCAATCTGCACCACAGGCCAAGGCACTAACCAGGGCTAAATATCTGTTTGGAAATAATAGTAAATATCAATAAATCCAATAAATCGAGGATCCATCTTCTTAAACGTTTACAAGGAGGAACCCAAAGCTCAATAACATGTCAGCAGAAATAGCACTGGGTTATACATCAGGAAACTTGAGTTCAAATCCTGGCTTCTCCATGAATTCACAAGAACATCCATAATTTGGAAGTAAAGGGCTTGGAAGGAGAATGACGGCTAAGGTTACCTTCATTCTGAAATGCTTCGGCAAATACATACCCACAGTGTCTCCCCATCACCTCCAAAACAAAGGTCCTCTGGTGGCTAGAAAGCAGGCACAATACGACATACATTTACTAACACTGTGACTAGAATAAGAAGCAAAGAGAAATACACTTTGACAGTCAAGCTAGACAGCAACACTATTTCATAATTATAGCAGGTAGCTAAACTTCAAAAACATGATCCATTTTCTACAAAAGCAAATGCTGTTCCAATAGCCATTTCAATTGTTGTGAGTAAAGGGACCTCAGCAGTGAGTGCACTTGCTACTTGCAGATTTTATAACATGTATTTGCTTGTGCTCCAAGATATAATGAATACTTACAGGACACCTTTCTATATTCTATATTCTTCTGAGACAATGACTATATTCGGCAAAGTCAGCTACTTCTCATGTGAAGAACAATGGGCTGAATATAACCAACAGTAAACATGTGAGTATGACAGATAATCAGTGCCCAACAACTGGGTCTTTCCATGGAATAGAAACATTTAATTACTACCAGCAATCTTTCAAACACTGAAGAGATCACGGGGTTTTCAAAGGCATTTCGGGAGGGCCACACAGTTTGCATGTATCAGGCTGGGAAAAATTAACACACAAAAATCAAGAGGTCTTACTATCAGGGTACTTTCCAAGTCTCAAGTTCCTCATCTGTACAATGGGAGACATTTACTCTACTATTTTATAGAGATTTTTGAAAAAGACTTTAAAAACTCCAGAATACTAGATAAGAGTCCCTGGATGGTACAAATGGTTAATGCTAATAACTGAAAGGTTAGAGAATCAAGTCCACCGGAAGGTTTCTTGGAAGGAAGGCCTGGTGATTCACTTCTAAAAAATCAGCCACTAAAAATTCAATGGAACAGAGTACAACTCTGACACACAAAGGGTGAGTGTCAGAATCAACTGGACGACAATTAGTTTTAGTAGTAGTTTTGTCATGAATCTGTATCACCTTTGAGGAAATTGGATTGATTTATCTACATTTTTGTAAATCTGTAGGTTAGAAATGGAACAATAAGAAAATGCTTAAACACGTATGTGTATGTTCTGTAAGAATGTTGAGGTATATGGTAGAGCTGACAAAGGACAAGGTTGTGGTGACTTCTTGGCCACAGCCAGCTATCCCGGAGGGAGCGAGTAGTTGGACCTGTGGGCTTGGGACCATGATCCTAGGGGATATCAACCTCAATTGGCACAACACACTATACAAAACATTGTTCCACATGCTACTTTGGTGAATAGCGACTGGAATCTTAAAAGTTTACAAGTAGCCATCTAGATGCAACAATGGGTCTCTCCTTGTCTAGAGCAAAGAAGAATGAAGAAAACCAAAGACGCATGGAAATAATTAGTCCAAGGGACTGGTACACCATGCAGTCCTCAGCCTATATGACCATGAGACCAGAAGAACTAGATGGCGCCTGGCTACCATTGTCACCTACTCGGAGGAGGATCTATGTAGGAGATTTTGGATAGAGTGGGAGAACAATGTGGAACAAAACTGAAAATTTAAAAAAAGACCAGGCTTGCTGGTCTGATAGGCCTGTTGAAACCCCTAAGACTATGGCCTCTAGCTGCCCTTCAGGGTTGCAATTGAACTCACTCCTGTAGCTTCCAACCAAATAAAAGGCCAGCATATGGGTGAACATTTACATCAGTTAGATATACTCCTTGTAGAAATCAATCATGGGATAACAGAAGGGCGGTATATGCATAGAGAGATGGCTGGGGAGCAGGAGTGCATGGGAGAGAAAGACACAGGGAAGAGGTAACTATGGGGAGAAGTGAGAGGGACACTGTTGCATTGTGGGAGATTACAGTCAATGTCACGAGACAAAGTATATGTGAGCTGTTGTATGGAAAGTGAATTTGCTCTGTAAACTTTCACCCAAATCACAATAAAAATTAAAAAAAAAAAAGAAAGAAAATGCTTAAACACATTCCTAATAAGTACCCATCTCACTGCTTTCAAATCGATACAGTGAACCTATAAGACAGAGTAGAACTACCCAATTTGGGTCTGTATTTTCTCTGAATGTTAAGTAGACACTGACTGACTGACTAGCTCCCCATGATTCTACAAGAAATCAATTATTAAGATTACATAATATCTTTAAGTATTTAATTCTGTAATTGTAATAAATCCCTATCCAGAGATACAGCATTCTCTGAACCCTGGTTTCCAAAGGTGTAATCTTTATAGAAGCCAGACTGCTATATCTTTCACCCATGGAGTGGCTGGTGGGTTTGAACCCCTGACCTTTCGGTTAGCAACCGAGTGCTTAACCACTGTGCCACCACAGGCTTTACTGTTTGCTTCAGGAGACTCTTGGGCAGGACTTTAGATAATAATTACTTTGTTTTCTTCTGCTTTATTACTTTTCTCCAATGAATAGGTTTTACTCTTAGAATCAAGAAAAAGTGTACTTTTTAAAATTAAAAATAAAAAGTAAGCCTGAGAACGATTTTCTTATAATGGTTTCTAATACTCAAATTATAAGACTTGTACCAGAATATTCATCTGCGAAACATTTTAAAATTTCTGAAGTTGAACCGGTGCTGATTTAAGCCTTAATACATCACTCACACCCTGTCTACTTCCCACTATCTTTTCTAAGTTCCTTTACCTCTGTGCCGTGGTCATGATAGCATCAACCACTTCAATAATCCTATGCAGAGCCGAATCTGTGCCAATCGTCATGTCTGTCCCACAGAAGTCATTGTCAATGGAGCCTACCATGCCCACGATGTTGAGGTACGCATACTTCTTCACGGCATCTGAATCAATCTTGCCTGCGTTGGAAAACAAAACTAAATTAAACAAAGCACCTCATAACTGGGGACAGTCACCAATCCTATAGGTACAACATTAGGTCTGAAAAAAATGAACCATGGTAAAGAAATCCATTATTCTAAATTATCTTTTTCTATTTGTTATTTTATTTTCTCGGAATTATATACAAAGTAAGTCTATATATTTAAAGAAATAAAAGCCAGACAAAAGTGAAAGTAATTACATAAAATATGAGATGTAATTTGGTAATTAGACAAGAACATTTAATTTCAGGAAAGAAGGAAGGAAAGAGGAGAGGGAAACACAGGTCACAATATGTGGATAAAATCTGAATTTCATCTGGCAGTGGCTTCAGGAGATTTCATGTCTCTGGATAGGGATATGTTACAACTACTATATTAAATACTTAAGAATAGTATGTAATCTTAATATCTGATATTTTACAGAACCATGGGGAACTAGTCAGTCAGTCAGTGTTTACTTAGGACTCAGATGAAATACAGACTCTAACTGAGCAGATTTCCATAATCAAATGATCAAATCAAAAGTGGGGTGGAAAATCATGATGACTATTATACTTCCGTGGTACTGAATCCATGTCAGATCAGAACAAGATGGACAACGAAATTCTGTTAAGCCCTTGGTTGTTACAATTTGACAGCCATTCTCCATTCCCTAAATATGTTTCACAAAATTTGAGGACAATTGTTTTATTCCAAGAACCAGTTGTTTATAAACTTGCTTTTAGTGTAAATGAGACACTTTCATCAGTCATATTTTATATTAAATTTGAATTATATAACAACTTTAATAGATTAAAAGCTATGGTTTATATAGGATTATCATAAATTCTTTCCTAAATAGTTTAAAAGGTGATAGAGTATAGTGCAAGAGCAGACAATTATAATTTTAACTAAAGTCCTGCAAGAATTTAAGTTTAAAGAGACACTAGTACAACTAGAGGAATATATGATAGGGACTGAAAATACAGACCCTGTAGTCTGACTGCTTGTGGACATGGATTCTGGCTCAACACTTATTGCTGTGTGACTTCAGCTAAGGCCTCTGATTGCTCACTTGTAAAATGAGGATAACTAAAAAAGCCAGCTCAGACAGTTGTTGTGAGGATTGCATAAAACTAACAGTATAAAGAGTTAGAAGGGTGTCTGGCACACAGTAAGATTAAGCGAATGTTATTCTCTTTCTCATTATTGTTATCCTTCTTTGAGGCACATATTTAAGTTTTGAGGTGGTCACTATAAGATCCGCAGTAATAACACTAATAACCACAAATACTTCTGCTGTGCATAAAGGAACAAAATGTATGAATTCAAAAGATCTCTGAAAGCAAGGGAAGACAAATGGGAGAAAACAGAAAATGTGTTAGACTACTACCCCTAAAGCAGAAACGTTTTACCATCTTGAGCCAACTCTTCCAGCAGTCCACTCCATTCCTTCCTGAAGATATTCGCCCCTGTTAAGCTTCCATCTCCACCAATTACACACAGATTTGTAATTCCCAGGTGAATCAAGTTACAGGCAGCTTTCAAGCGACCTTCCCGAGTACGAAACGCTTGGCAACGTGCACTGCCAATGATTGTTCCTCCCTGAAAAAGAAACAAATTAAGTTTGTTTTTCTCCTTTCAATTTAGAAAGCTAGACAGATTAGAACATGCTGGCATATAAGCACAGGGCTTTCAAAATTAGATGCATTAGTCAACCACAAAAGTTTCTTATTTTCCCAGTTTTAGCCCCACACTGTAATTCTATAGACAGACACGTGCATCATACTCAGTGGTAGCCACACAGAGTATAAAAACATAAACAAATGGCAATCATTAGATAAGTAGGCAGAGTACAAGAGTCTGTAACTACAAAAGCAATCCAGAGAGTCTCTTGTGAAGCTTGCCAGCACTAGGTGAACTTGACTTTGTGAAAGTTCCACTACTGCTCGTGATTCTTTGCAACTTATCACTCTTTGAAAGCATGCTTTGTCACCACGGCTCTTTTATTGTTGTTCTGAGACGTCAAGTCAATTCCGACTCATAGCAACGCTACATGACAGAATAAGACTGCCCTGTAGGGTCTCCTTTCCCCTTATCTTTACAGGAGCAGATCGCCAGGTCTTTTCTCCCACAGAACCTCTGGGTGTGTTCACACCACCAACCTTTTGGTTAGCAGTCAAGCGCTCAACCATTACACTACCAGGGCTCCTTCTCCTTCTATTAGCCAGATACTGATGCATTTTCAGGCAAAATAAATAGCAATTGTGCATCAAAGAATTTATTTTTGTACTACATCACCCCTTCACTCTTCTTAAAAGATTAAATCTTACATAAACTTAAATTTGATAGCCCAAAGGTCCAGGAGAGATGGACCATGATTTTTCACACTTAGCTTTCCAAAAATTAAGAATCTTTGTTTTATTTAGAAAAATGCAGGATTCTTTTAACAACTCATGAGTGCTTTCAAAGATCTTCAGTTTGTACTCAGTCCTTATAAACAGTATTATTTCTGTGTTGGAGACAGAGCTCTATAGAGAGATAAACCCACTGTCCTGGAGCCAATTCTGACTCACTCATATGAACTCAGGTAGTTACAAAGTACAACTGCTTCACAGGGTTTCTCAGGCTATAATCTTTATGAAAGCAGGTCACCAGGGCTTTCTTCCACAGTTTCTGGGTAGGTTCAAACCACCTATCTTTAGGATAGCAACTGATCATAAACCCCTTATGCCTCCAGGGCTCCTTCTATTGAGATATAACTTACTGAAAAACCTTTGTTTATGTGGTTTATGTGATAGTATTTGTTTACATATATATGAATTGTATACATACATACCTAATATTAATTTATGAATGTTTATTTCAAATTAGGAAAATTCATGTATTTCTACATGCAAATGACCACCATTTGATTGGTAAAAGCATTAAAAGAGGTGAGAGATAAAAAGTCAAATTTTATCAGCACTAGTTTTACTAAAGGAACTCTGATAGCACAGTGCCTAAGACACTTGACTACTAACCAGAAGGCTGGCAGTTCAAACCCACCAGCCACTCCTTCGAGGAAGGTTGGGCAATCTACTTCTGTAGTGATACTGCCTCAGAAACCTCAGGAGGGGTCGCTATGAGTCGGGTGCGACTCAGCACATAACAAGAACAACAACAACAACAGTTTTACTAATACAATACTAAATGTGATCCTGTGTTAACAGTAATAGTAGAATGACTATAACAAACATTATGATTTGGCCCAGGAAAAGGTAGAAAGTGCAGGGTACAAGGCAGAGATAAGCGTTTTCTCTGAACTTTGATTTGAGAAACTGTCACTGGAGAGTGATGTGATTTATAACAACCTGAAGTTAAGTTGGCAACTCATAAATACCAAAATTGAATAGATAATATGGGCAGAGTTTCAGGAATGAAACCACAAATAACTAATTTGTAAAGAAATAGGCACCTTTCACACACACACACACATACACACACACACTTTAGGGATTGGTAGATTTCCTATCACAATGACAATATCCAAGCTAGTTGCCCTTAAGTCGATTGCAACTCATGGTGACCTCCATGTGTTACAGAGTAAAACTGTTCCATAGGGTTTTCTTGGCTATAATATTTATGAAAGCAGGTCCCAGGCCTTTCTTCTGCAGTGCCATTAGGTGGGTTCAAAGTGCCAGCCTTTAGATTATCAGGTAGGGACCAACTCCTGGAGAAGGATATTATGCTGGGTAAAGTAGAGGGTCAGTGAGAAAGGGTACAGCCCTCAAGGAGACAGATTTACACAGTGGCTGCAACTATGGACTCAAGCATAGCAATGATTATAAGGCTGGCACAGGACAAGACAATGTTCCCTTCTGTTGTACGTGAGGTCACTATGAGTCAAAATTGACTTGACAGCTCCTAACAACAGCAACAATAAACCATTCGCACAACCCAGGAACCTTAGAATTACAACAGCAGACTAGAAACACTCTTTTTCTTAAGCAGGTTTACTCTATGGAATTGAGACAAAATAGTTTTGATTTTTTCAGATATTGCTCTACCTAAATTAATGATTGATAGCTGTTAAAATTCCCTTCAACCTCCATGCAGGAATGATAAGTATAGGGATAGCAGAGCAAAACAAGTCCAAGTGTCAACTTAAAATCTGTATCAGCATTAAAATGTACACCCCACTCACATAATCAGAGTGAACATACCAATTTGGTTCCTTTCTATTAAAAAGTACTAAAAATAAATCAAAGATTAATACACACCTTTTAAAAGATAAACTGCAAGCAAAAGAGCTTTTTCATAAATCCATTATTTCCTCATAATCTCTTTATTTCTCAACTGATTTGGGCTCTTCACTAAATTCAAGTGTTCTGGGAATTTATTAGGCATAAAATACTTTGGCAGGTTTCTTTTAAATTGAAAGCAGGCAACTATCCGCCTAAAGTAATAATTATCCCATTTTTGCATACCAAGGAAATTAGCCCCATCTGATTCAAACCAAAACAGGGAGGCTGTGTTCCTAATAAATCTCACAGCCCTTGGAGCTGCCAGTATGAGTCATTCCCAGGCTTTATTATACTTAATGCTAAGTGACACACACAAACCCCACAGGCACGGAGATTTGCAACTGAACACACAGCACCAACAGAGAACCAACAAACCACAGTGAAAACCACCCAGAAGTACCACAACTAATATTAGATATAGCACATAACTTTTTATTGCAAGGATAATTCTAGAGCTTACATCATATAAACCTTTTCCTTTTAATTAAATGATGAATTGTGTTCTCTTTCTTTGCAAGTAAGTAGTTTAGAATAATGCCACTCAGCACTTTAATCTGCTTTAAGTATTACCGAAGCGTAAGTATTAAAGGTTTCAAACTAGCAGAGTTACTAATGATTTACTTGCTTAGAGAAATAAATAATATGAAAACATGGCACATACCATTTGGAGAATGCTCGAGACACTTTCCCATGAGGCTTCAACAATATTAGAACCTCCATCTACCATACCTTGGTAACCCTAGTAAAAGACAAAAAAAAAAATGTAATAACTTTTAAAAAAAATATTAATTGATATTTAAATTATATAAAATGGAACTACAAATTAAAATGAATACAAATTATAATTTAAGCTCCTAAAAGTCCAATGGTGATAAGATATGGGGTGATTAACCTACTAGTGGAAAGCACAAATTGTGGTTAATGCTCCTAAACGTAATCTCTAATAATGGAGTTTTACCCCACACTAGTCCAAAGAGTACCATGGAAAAAATAAAATGGTTTGTCTATTGCCCAAAGGTTCCTAAGTGATTGAAAAGGGACATGCTTATCCCAACTGTTAATAATTCAGCACAAATTCACATGCAAACAGCACTGTCAGTTAGACTGCATTCACAAAAGCTTTCCTGTCCAGGCCCCTTTTTGACAAGGCATTCCTTGCAACTTTAGATCTATAAATACAAGTATTTTTTAGAGAGCATATTTGAATATTACTCCAATAATTCAGTTTGCCCTACCTTCCAATAAGTGGTATTTTATTACTATCCCAAGGTGAGACTTTTACTAAATGAGGGTATCAATACACACTTTTGCCTGGAAGCCCAATGATACTTGTCTTTCAACTCTAAATGTATCATCCTTTTTCCCACAGAATATACAAGACCAAGAAACAGACATGCTCCGTTTGCATCTTTATCTACACATCTCACTTCCCAGAGCATTTTACGTTAAAAAGGAATAGCCACCCATTAAATATTTAGAAAATTTTATCACAATAGATTGTTATCCTAGATTTGTACTCCCTACCTAGTGAAGGGAAGAGAGCTCTGGTGGCGTAGTGCCCAAGGCATTTGGCTGCTAACTAGAAGGCTGGTAGTTCAAACCCACCAGCCATTCCTTGAAAGGAAGATTGGGCAATCTACTTCTGTAGAGATATCGCCTCAGAAACCCAAGCGGGGGTCGCTATGAGTCTGGAAGGACTCGATGACAGTGAGTTTGGTTTGAGATAGTGAAGGGCAAGAGGCAAGAACAAAATAATTAAAGTTTTTGTTTGTCTGTTTGAAATAAAAAGGCCCATTGAGCATGGAGTCTTGTGTATAAATTAACCATTCGGTGCCAGCACCCTCCTGGCTGATCAATTTTGCATATTTATATTTATAAATTTATATTTCCATAAAAGTATAAATATAAGCATGTGTGAGTGTACATATGTATGTGTATGTATGTGTGTAAAATCTAGCAGCAAATAGAGAAGGAAAAAGCAGTACAGAATGAATGTTGTTGTTGTTACATGCCCTTGAGTCAGACCTAACTCAGCAACCCCTCCTTGGGTTTCCGAGGCAGTTGCCCCATCTTCCATCCAAGGAGCGGCTGATGGGTTTGAACCGCCAACCTTCTGGTTAGCAGTCAAGTGCCTTAGGCACTGCGCCACCAGAGCTCCCCCAACAGAATGAATAGAGCGAGGAAAAGTCAAAAAGAGTCTAGTTATAACGCTGGCAACAGTTTCTCACATATGTGCTCTATATCTGAGGATCCCAAGTCCCCAAACTACTCCTTGGGTCTATATTTTCTTCCAGACCCTGAAGTAGGCAGAAATAAGGATTGCCACTTAAATGGCCCACTGTCTTCAAGGGGAAGCAATGGAACTGTTAAACACGCCTCCAATTACCATTAAAGGTTTTCTTTTTTTTAATTTTGGTCTTTTTATTAACATCTTCTTTCTTTCCCCAAACCTTATAGGTTGAATGTTTTCACATGATTCCATGTAAAGTCAGAACCTAGTGTAGTTATTACTGTGGAAAGAGGGGGTGACAAGTAAGAGTGTGATTTGATCCAGACCTTATCTTTGGAATCCTACTTCAACAGAAAGATAGACAGACAGACAGACATAGGTCATTTAGCTTTCTTGTTGTTAGTTGCCATCGAGTTCCTTGACTCACAGCCATCCGATGCATAATGGGTTCTGCATCATCCCCATGATCAGTTATGGATCAGACCACTGTGATCCATGTGGTTTTCACTAGCTGGTTTTCAGAGTAGATCACCAGGCCCTTTTTCTTAGTGTGGAAGTTCCAGTGAAACCTGTTCAGCATGACAGCAACACGCAACCCTCCACTGATGGATGGTAGCTGCACATGAGGTACACTGGCTAGCTCTGGTGGCGTAGTGGATAAGGCACTTGACTGCTAACCAATAGATCAGTGGCTCAAGCCCACCAGCCACTCCGTGGAAGGAAGATGGGGCGATCTACTTCCATAAAGATTTACAGCCTCGGGAACCTAATAGGGGTCACTATGAGTCAAAAATGACTCAATGGTAGTGAGTTTGGTTTTTGGTTTTTTTTCTCCCGTATGGAAGGCAAGAATTCTACCACTGAACCACCGATGGTCCTATCAACTAGCCTTAATGTTGTCCTTTTAATTATCTCTATCACCCACAAACTCCCAAGGGTTTGTTCAGAGTTATACTTCACTCTGTAGAGACAACACAGTATGCCATTGTTAAAATATGAGAGCAATATTGAACAAACTACCATTAGTGGTGATCCTGACTTTTCAATGGGTTGAGCTTGGAAGGAAAAGAAACACGAAGAAGGAAGCATGTGGCCAGGATCCAAGGTTCAGGCCCCATCTTACTGTGCAAACATGAACCTTACACAGGATGATAATGTGTTTTTTTGCTTTTTTTTTTTTTTTAATTTTTATTGTAGTTTGAGTGAAAATTTATAGAAAAAATAGTTTTCAATTCAACAATTTGTTGAATTTTGTTCCATGACATTGGTTGCAATCGCCTCAGTGTAATGGCACTTTTCCTATCTCCTCCCTGGGTTTTCTGTTTCCATTCATCCTTCTTTCCTGTCTTCTGAGCTTTGTTTTTAGTCAAATGTATCCCTGTTGGTCTTGTATGGTCGACTATACTGAGGAGTACATTTCCCCTTGGTGTTGTTATTCACTTCATAGGCCTGGTTATTGTTTGGCCGAAAGATCCCCAGGGGTTGGTTCAATTCCAGGTTTGAAGGGTTATCTAAAGGCCAAAGTTTCAGAGATGGGGGGCTCCACCAGTTTCTATCAAACCAGAAAATCTTGTCTTTTTTATTTTGAATTTTGTCCTGCATCTTTTCTTCTCTATTATTTTCATCCAAACTTGCATTCTTTGGTGAATGAAAAAATATTAATAATTAGCCATAATAGTAGACATAAACCAGAACTGTTCTGGGCAAGTCAGCATGTGTAATTGCTCTAACCATAGGGCTGTCACAAAACAAAATGAAGATCCACTAATCTCCCACACCAATATCCCACTTTCGTAATGTGTGTACATTCAGGTGTTACATAAATGAAGAGACTAAGGGTCACTACCAGTAGGAATCAACTAGACGTAAAAAGGTTGTTAATGGGAAAAAAGTCAGTCACAGCCACTTCAGTGTTTATGAAGATGACACTGATGTTGCTCAAGTATCCTTAGAATGACTTAGGACTAAACCTCAGCTGTCCATATCTGGGAAGCTCTGGTGGTGTAATGTCTAAGGCATTTAACTGCTAACCAGAAGGCTGGCGGTTTGAAACCCACCAGCCAATCCTTAGAAGGAAGGCTGGGCAATCTACTTTTGTGTTGATACTGTCTTGGAAACCCGAGGAGGGGTCAGATCCAACTCAAGGCAGTGAGTTTGGTTTTTTTGGTTTTTGGTGCATATCTGACAGTATCAACTTAGAGATTGTTCCTAGATCATCTGTTGTCATAGAAACTGCTCCTTAGTCAAGCATCATGTGAAATTTTACTACTTAATACTTGGAATGGAAAAATTGCCTTTCCCTTTATTATTTCTATGAATTTAAACATTGATTTAATAAAACATTTTTAGAAATCCCTCTGCTTCTAGAGTGGTCACATGGGAAATGCCTATAAACCATTAAGCATAATTTTAAGTGAAGTGTTTTCCAAAAATAATTTGATTATTTTGTATAGCACAGATACATGACAAAGAAAGCAATTTAAAAAAAAAAAAAAAAAACACTATAATTTTATTACTGCATTCCAGAGTCTCTTATTGCACACATGTGCTCAGTTGCTAGGAAATGACTCATTCTTTAATTTGCAAAGTCATTAAGCCCATGTAACATTTGAAAAATAACTACGAACTGCAGTTTCAAGCTGTCTTTTACTAACAGGAAAGATGTTTCTAAATTAGAAAGACTAATTTTACACAAAGGTATTATAATTTGTACATTAATGTGAGCTTTTTCTGTTGAAGCCTTCTCCTTGAAAGATTCAAGACTTATTCCAATATAGCCACAGCCAAAATATTCTTTAGAATTCTCTTTCAAAGGCAAGACTAATTTTACACAAATGTACTATAATTTATTCATGAGTTTTTCCTACTGAAGCTCTCCCTGGAAGCTTTTAGTCATAGCCCAAAACATTTTGTAAAATTTGCTTTCAGAATTGCCTTCAGGGCCAATTTTATGACTCAAATAAGAAAAACAAACCAAACCATAAAATCTTTAAAGCTATGCTTTGTTTTTTTGACCAAAAATAATAATACCTGCCTTGCTCATCCTAACTCACAAAATGAACCTAAAAGACTCTTAGCTTGGTGTATCAACTCTACTATCATACAGAATTTTTTTTTACATTGAGTCATTTGATTGCATCTCAGAAATGACATAGACTCTGATGTCCTTTTTTTATTTCTTCTTTGAAATTGTTTTAAGCAATGTCAAAATAAGCATACATAGCCTCTGAACAGATTACTCAGAAGACAGCTAATACTACATTTTAGAGGTTAAGTTTTGACCTACATTTTTAGGCATTCATTAAATACATTCTAAATAGAGTATGAACTAGCATCTGTGGGTAGCTTTCTCTTATAAGAGATCTCACATGTATTTTTAAAAATTCAAGACTCAGGGGAATTATAGCCTTGTGCAAAATAGAACTTTTCCTTTCAGAATGTTTATATTTAATGGGTCCTTATGTCTTGATGCTTTTTTCCAATCTGATTTCCTGAATTCTTCAGATAAC